GAAGAAGTGAGGTTCTTGCATCTGAAGAAGTGAGGTTCTTACCCACGAAAGCTTATGCTCCCAGTACTTCTGTTAGTCTCAAAGGTGCCACAGGACCCTCTATGTCTTATAGTGAGAGTCTCAAGGAGCTCCATCTATTTAGCTTAACAAAGAGAAGGCTAAGGGATGACTTGAAAGTACCTACATTGGAAACAAATATGTGATAAGGGGCTTTTCAGTCTAGCAGAGAAAGGTATAATAAGATCAAATGGCTGGAAGCTGAAGATAGTCAGATTTAGACAGGAAATAAAGCATACATTTTTGAAGTGATTAACCCCTGGAACAATTTCTGGTGGATTCCCCATCACTGACAATTTTTACATCAAGACTGGATGTTTTTTTTTCTCTAAAAGATGTGCTCTAGGAATTATTTTGGAGAAGTTCTATGGCCTGTGTTACACAAGAGTTCAGATGAGATGATTGCCATGGTCCCTTCTGGACTTGAAATCTATGAAACTATGAATGAGAACTTTTGTTTGGTAGTAGTTTATGGCTGCATATTATCACACATGACAAATTCAAAATTCTCAAAGGGAAAGGTAGCCATGGTACTCCTGTAAATCACTGAGGCTCTATATCTCTCTTCTTTACCTCAGTAGTATGCACCCCTTTTAGTGTAAAGTGAAACACACACCAACCATCATCTTGCACCCCTCATTTTGGGTATTCGTCACAAATTTTACAAGTCACTGAGACATATTTGGAGCTTGGCAGGTTGAAAGCTATGTTACGATATTGGAGGACAGATTTTGTTCTCAATAAAATGCATAAAAATAAGTTTATTTATCAGCAAGGAAATAAACTCCTTACATTTTGTGTTTAAGCGACACCCTTTGGTTTGTGACAGCCCATGATTTGTGACAGCCTAAAAATGTTGTAACTTTGACAAATGTGGTTTTGACCTATCTTGTCAATATGTGTGTGTATATACATGTAATTGCTCCATTCTTTTTGTCTTTATCAGTTTACATGAAAAGAAAGACCCATGCTGTCTTTTTATGTAAATTGATAAAGGCAAAGAGAATGGATCTAGGAAATATACATACCCATATTGAGAGGATGGTTAATAGTAAAAGCTTGTGACTTTACTTAAAAGACCAAAAGAAATAAGCTAAAGTGGGGTCTGATTTCTGTTGATGTAAAAATATCTTCATTTATTTTATCTATTTCTGTCTGTATTCTACAGCCACCCATCATTGTGGTATCTGAGCACCTCCCATGTAAAATAGTATCAACACCTCTTGAGGACTTCAGGCAGTCTCTGTTTTTTCTCCCTGTTTAGGTTTGACAAACTGCGTGGAGTAGGGACGCTTTTGGGGGGGGGGATGGGAAAGAGGGATGAAAGAAGGAAAGAGGGCATGGTCAATGTAAAGAAAGTCTCCTCTTTCCATCCTTCTTTCCCATCCTCCAAAAGATAATTCCTATTCCAAGTATTTGCAAAAATTGGTCAGACTCTGGCTTCCTCTAATCGCTCAGGAAGTTCATTTGCCAGCTGGATCCCCTCAACTGAGAATGCTTTGGTTACAGATCTTTGTGATCTGCATTGCTCCAGCAGAACACAACTGTGGTGATTATGATTGAAATGGTGATTCATAGATTGAAATGTCACCAGGATAGTTAATGGACTGTAGGCTCTGTAGGGCCAGATTTGCAAAGGTATTTAGGTGTCTGAAGATGCAATTAGGTATATAGTAGGATTTACAAAAGTGCCTAGGCAGTCTTGGCCCCTAGGAGTCAATGGGAGTTATCTTTAGGTGCCAAAATACCTTTGCAATCTGCCCTTTTGAAAATGGGACTTAGGCAACTTTGAAAATGTTACAGCTTTGAAAATGTAATTGCTTTGAAAATTAGGACCAAGGCATTAGACTGTCAGCAGACAGGAAATCAGTGGAAGGACTGGAGCACAGAACTGATGTGCTCACACAAACCTAAACTGCATCTTGTACCAGCTGGGAGTCTTTGCATTGTTTTCATATTTGGTTTCAGGAGCAGTGAATTACAGTACTCCAGTCTGGAGATAACCCATGCATGGATCACTGTGGACAGGTCTTCATCTGGGAAGAAAAGGTGAAGTTTCTTAGTGAGCTGGAGGTGACATATGACATTTTAAGTCACTGATGCTACCTTATTATCCAAGCTCATTGATGGGTCAAACTGGACCCTGAGGCATCATACAGCTTTGAGAAATGGTGGCTCTATGGTTTAAGGACAAGTGAGGGCAGAGGCCTGGCTATTTCTTCCAACCATTTCCCTTTGCCAACAAGTAGGGTGACCAGATGTCCCATCTTTAAAGGGACAGTCCCATATTTAAGCCTTCCTGCAGGTGTCCTGACTTTTTCTTAAAAACGGGCAAATTGCCCTGTATTTTCTGTCTCCTCCCATCAGTACTGGCGGATCCTGCTGCTGGCCTGATCCCTGCTCACCAGCCGCCTGCCCACCAGCAGTGAGTGTGGGGGTCCCGGGGCTGACGATGGGTGTGGGTGTGCAAGACTGGTGGCGGGGCATAGCTGCAGCACACTGGGTCCGGCCACTCCCCCTGCTGGTCTGTCAGCGCACCATGTACTGCGTGCCTGCTCTCAGCCATCAGGGCCCCGTCCTGCGTCCAGTTTCTGGCCAGCACTGGCTGCTCGCTGGTTGGTGAGTGTGGACAGTTGAATGTTGCCTCTGCTGCCCACCCATCGGCCTTTTACATGCTCCCCTTCTCGCTGTCCTCTCCCTGCTTTACCCCTTTGCCCCCCCAGCCCGGCTGCTCCTCCATATTGCCCCCGGCA